TGTCGACTGTTTCAAATCAGTTCAGAACGACTGTTTCATTACTCTTTCATACTTGCTAAGGAAAAATAAACAGGCTGGCCTTGGTGCCGCTTAATTCCTGCCCTTTACAAGCACCTCTTTGTGGGTTGCTACATGGGATTTCTGCTGGAAAAGCAACATTGTTAAAACCACACTTGAACCGACAGTGGAGAGCCAAAGGTTGAATTAATCTGAGTCAAAGCCCACGTCTTAAAGCGTGATGTTCGTGCTTTCTGTATTTCGTTTGTATTTGTGTTTGGAAACCAATTTCAGATATCCATAGCAAATAGTTTGAGTGCAAAAAAAGAAAGAAGGAAAGAAAGTGATGGTGTTTCCTTGGAAGCACGGGGCGCAATAAAGTCTTAAAATAAACCACATATATCATTTTTTGCCCACCTCAGAATCCCTGGGCATGTCTTATTAATGAGTCCTCTCTTTCTTTGAAGTAAGCCAAAGATGATGTTCATAATAAATTCTGGTGTGCTGCTTGAGTCTTCCTCAAATAAATTCTCAATTAGAAAATGTGTTTAGTTTTGAAGCGCACCGAAGACAATCTTTTATTTTCAATGTCACTTATCAGATGGAGCCCTGTGCTGGGTTTGCTCCAACTACACTCGCTTTGAAGTAAAAGGAAATGTGAAATTTGCTGTTTAAATCCAGCTGAATTGCTGAAACTTTGTAAGCTAACGATGCCATGTGTTGGGATGTTTCTGGGTCACTGTCATGTTGCAGGATCCTGTCCTGTTCACCCTCGTGCTTCATACCCGGTCTAAGATTCTTTTCCCGTTCTGCTCTATGCGGTTTCTGCCACACATGACCTCTTCATGCCTAAATACTTATATTTTAAAATCTATTTTTTAAAGAACATTTTCACAGAATTCCTTTTTCTTTCACTATTTCTCCAGAAGTGATATTAAAAATCCACAAATCACAACATGTAGACATCTTAAGGTGTCCCTTTTTTTTCACAGCTGTTTATGGCAATATCACTGTTTGGCAACTTGATACATGACATTTAGTTTCTCTCTCACTGTCACTCAAACCGTCCTCACTTTCACCCAGCATGAAGATTCATCCTTTTAACGCTGTTTATCCGCTGACGTGAAAATATTACTAATATGCTAACGAGAAAATTAAAAAAGTTTCCTCACACAGCATTATTTGATCACTCTTACATTTCAAACATTTATTATGTATCGATGTGAAGACCGAGCTCAACAATATTTTTAGGGTAATGGCACGACGCGTGAGAGTCGCATCATTTCTTGTAAAAATGGAAATGATGGAGGCATCATGACTCTCATGTCTGCCTTCCATCTCTTACGTGACAATCAAGCACTGATTTATGGTCTCTGTTTATCCTGCCAACTGTTTACTCTCCAGACCAGACATTTACACCCTCGGCAGCACCTCCTTCTCGCTTGTTGCTTCGCAGTTTGGAGGTATGAGGTTGTTTGTCAGCTTTGGGAAAAAAAAGGAAATTAAAAAAAAAAAGATCTGTGCAGACATTCTGCAGGGAACATCAGCATGCAGAGTTCTTCCTGGACAGAAATCTAGTGGTAAGTATTTTACTAAGTGGAAGATGAAGAGAGAATAAGTCTCTAGAATAACTCATATTTCTGCCCTCAAGCTGAATTAGTGATAAATGTTTATTTAATTTCTATTCTCTTGTGCAGCTTCTCTCACCACTTATAGCAGGAGTATGTGACTTTAATTTTTTTTTTGTATTTATTTATTTTGTAAATCAAACTTCTGTGAAATCAAACTGTCCACTTAGAAAGCAACACTGATTGACAATCAATGTCACCAGGTGTTGTGCAAATGGAAGAGACAACAGGTGGAAATTATTCTCATATTTATTTCATTCTTTCAGATCTAGGATGTGTTATTTGAGTGTTCCCTTTATTTTTTGAGCAGTGTATATATATATATACATATATATATATATATATATATATATATATATATATATATATATATATATATATATATATTTATTATATATATATTTGACAGTATGGTATGAGACAGATAACCTGTGAAAAGATCACATGCCATCTCCGTGTGGACCTGCTGTCGTGTGAACAAGTACATCGCTCTGTCAGAAAACAACCAATCAGAGCAAAGAGGAGGGACTTAATGCTGCCAATCAGGCTACCACTTGCTTACCACAGTGGGAGTCTGTCACCAGTGCTAAAGCTAGCTAGACCATTAGCGCATTGAGCAGCACATGCACAAGGTTGATAGACAACGCTCTGATTAGATTGTTTTAATTGCTCATCTCTCCACAGATTAGCCATCTCATATTTTAGAGAGACTGTTTTAATAAATATGTTTAAAAAAACCATATTTATTAATTGTATTAATTATTTATTAATTATTTATTAATTACTTATTGTCGTTTTCAACAAAGTGAAATGAAATGCACCACTTAAGAACATTCATTGAAAATGTTTAATGAATTATTTAGTTGCAATGCGTTGTCATGGTCCACTGTTTGTTTCTGTACTGTGTGCGAATGTGTTCATGTTTGCGATCCAGATGGTCAGCGAGCTTATGGAGCTCCGCCGGTTGTCGACTCAAGCCGGAATTTTTACTGCTGCTCAAAAAATCTGCAAACGACCCCAAATTCCTAATTTAGATATCAATTAGTTTCCTGGTTCCCTGGCAAAGCTCAGTGATTTCCCCTGATGTCGGGCATGTTTGCAAGCGGGGCGTCTGCAGCTTTTGCTCTGCAGAGGAGTGTGCAGAAGATGTGGGAGAATCAATAACATGCCTGAAACAAGCTCATTACTGAGACTAAACACTGCAGTGAGAAAAACGATCACAGTCATCACTGTGGACAGAGCTTTGGTTATTCAGTGTTATGTGTCATATGTGGCACCCTTTGTAGTCAAGTGTGGATTTTTCACTTCATTGAGAAGAGAGAAAGCTTGCAGGCTGCATTGTATGGGTAGATTTCCACTGTTTTGCTTTTTTTTTTGTGTGTGTAACAAAATAATGTATTATGGTATGAAACACATTTTTAGATTAGACAAAGCTAAATGGAGAAAATCCAAAAATCTGTTTTCAAACAGTCATTTGATTTGTTAAAGGGAAAAAGTTATCCAAACCAACATTGTCTTTGAGAAAAAAAAAAACAAAAAAACAGTTGTCTTCATTACTCAATAATAAATCAATTGTAATTAATTAGGCATCTTTTTGGTCCAGTTTCACCTCTGACCTTTGGAAGAGGAATAGAGTTTTGAAAAAAAAAATTTTTCTTTAATCTCATAAGATTAAATTCAGAATTGTGAGAAAAAGTAATTATTTTCAGTGACTTTAATCCTCTTCCATACTGATATGTAGAATCAAGAAATCATTTAACAACAAAAATAAATCTATCTTAAAAAGCAACATTTTATGTCCAAATCTAAGAATAGATTTCAGAAGGAATATGATTTACTAATATCTTTATTATCTATTGTTATTGTCATGTGTTAGTAAGAAAAAAGGTGACAAAGCCACTCCTAATCCATACAGACTCACTGAATCACGAGACAATTTGCAAACCTTTCTAACACTGAAAGTTGTTGACTTTCTTCTTCCCTCCGTTATACGTAGCATCCAGGCCCAAGAACGACGACAAAAAAGATACGCACTCTGATATTTCACTGGACCGCCTTCAGATTTAGTTTTAGCGTGCATCCACCCTGTAACCATTACGTTAACCTTATGTCCCGTCCAGATTCGCCTTCGTTTTCCATCAACATGCTGTCGAGGTGATAGGACAGTTATTCTGACTCTCTCCAGTAATTTTCATGGGGTTAAGGATTGGGCAGTGGTGGATAATCCATGTGTGAAAGTCATGTCTAATGCTCCTTGTACAATTTAAGCTTGATGACTCCTCGCTTTAACATCTGCAGATATGCCTGCAGACGTCAGGGAAGAAGACGTTCACCGATGGAAATGAATTTTATTCAGGGAGTCAGCTGATGCGTCGGGTCATAATGTTGCAGAAGCCAAACCGGACGAACCCCTGATCATGACCATGCTTAATTTGTCATTTTAAAGGACAACCAATGGAGAACCGCACAAACATCAAACTACATCATATGTTGTAAGGCTGTAAATATTTTAATAAGCAATTAATCTATTGATTATTCTGATGATTATCATATAAAAAACTTTGCATAAAATGCAATGACAGTGTTCTCTTGGTGATTTTGAACCAAATGAAACTAAATCTACCACTTCAGGAGTTTTGGCTGAAACATATTTGCAAATACATCTTAAATGCAACATATACGTGCATTTTGTACAATTTTGGCTGCTTTGACGTGTTGTGTTATTTTTTCAGCAAATGATTTTTATACTGCAGATAAATGATCAATCAATTACTAAGTTAGTTGATGATTATTTTTAATAATCAATCACAATTCATGACTATTAATCCGATTGACTGGTTCAATCCTTGTTCTGTTTAGTGCTGCTACTAATTTCTTTTATGAAGACTGGTTGCTATCTGTATTTTCTTTATTTAATCTGGACTGTGAGGTGCATGTGGATAACTATGTTGCTTCTTTGTGGAAAAGCACATTAAAGAAGACGACGTTCTTTAAATCAGAAACACTTTGGTGCTGAGTGGATTCTTTCTTCTCCTCTCTCCGCCGGCACATAGAGGACTGGCTCAGTCAGTGAGGTGAATCCTTGTTTCTCGCATCCAAACTTGCTCAAGGCTGAGATGAGAGCACACAGTCATCCAAACCGCTGCACCCCATGCAGCAGACAGATATTCTGCTGGAGGCTGCTACACGGAGGCAGCACTACGGCATTAAGAGCATGGATTTCTAACCTTTCTATCAAAACGCCAGATCAGTAAACATCGCCCCAGACTTACCCTCATCCCTGCTCCCTCCTGCGACACGCTTCCTCATGATCTCCGTAGTCAGCCATGCTCATTTTGATCCGCTGTGTTTCTCTCTCTGTCTTTGTTCTTCCAGTGCACTCCTGTTGGCGGCCACGGATTTGTGCTGGACAAGTACAAGTGCCAGTGCAGGAAAGGATTTTACCATCCGAACCGAGTGGCGCTCAATGGCTTTAAAAGTAGGTTACGAATCTCGTTGTATTGTAAAAATAAAGAATAATAATTTAAAAAACCTGCTTTGTGCAATTCACTGCCAGATCAAAAGGCCGATTGTAACTCCAAGAAACACAACCCCCCTTCATGTCTGACAGATATACCCTTTATCTGATGTTCTTTTCAAAGCTGAAAGTGTGTACGCGGCTTCTACAGCTGGAAAACCTCAAACTCCTAGAAAGGATTGTGACCTTGCTTACTGTGGTATTGTACTATGAGTTTGTCTGGACTCTCAAAAGGGAATAAGCGACATTTAACTCATACCTCGTCCACCATGTTCCCTGTTAACAGCCACAACCTTCATGTTCTTGTGCAATGATTGTTGACTCTATTTTGTGGCACTAAATTTTATACATATTTATATATCAAATGTTTAGTTTGATTTTTATTTGTTTAAAAAACCTAATATTCTTTTACTTCCACTTGCCAGTCATGAGTTATTTGTGATCAACAGCATATGAGTCCATAGGAAATCTTAAAACTTTGTGGTTTTAATGTGACTAACTGGAAAAAATTGATCTCAGAGGGTTAAATTATTGTAAATGTTTCAATAGAAATGTACTTGTGGATTTTCCCACTAATAGCAAAAATGTTCACATTGGCAAGACGAGTTTATGACCCATTACAGCACAGATGGACAATCGTCCTGTTGCAGTCAGGTGTATAAAACTAACACAAGTAAAACCAGATATTTAACACACTTTTACAGTGTTTTGTTTTTGCTTAATATCCAACATTAAATGAAACTCTTCCTGTTTGAGATTAAATTATTTCTATTTGCTAAATGTTATGACGCTCAGAAATGTTCTGGGTCAACATTTTATGACTTCTGCTTCAGAAAGTAGTCAAATTTAATAATTTTCTTTTTCATTATTATTATTTCCAAATCCTCAGAACACCAAGACAAAATAATAAGCTTATAATAGGTTAATTGGCAACATTTGAATTAAACCGAGGCTCCCTCTAGTTTGATTTTAAGGCAACACCTCAAAAGCAGCTTTTCCACTATAAATATGCACAAAACTTTGTTAATATTACTCTGATGTAAAAAGCAAAGTACACACTTTTTGCATTTGATAAAAAACGCAATTAAAATCACACGCAAATAAGTTTGTTCCCGCCATAAGTAATTAAGAAACACATGGCATCATGATCCTCCAAGCACTTCCTGTCGTCTTCTTCGTCTTTTCTGCCAGTGGCAACATTCAGCTGTTGATCATGTGACTGTGTGATGCAAAAAAAAAAAAAATTGATACAGAAGAAAATCCAACATTCTAAAGAAAAATGATCACATTTTACATGTTCAAACAAATATATGACAAGTCCAAACAGCCGGGAAGTTACAATAATTTGGGGTGGTCACCACAAACTCCTCATTTTAATCCAATTGTCTCTCATTTTTTTAGCAATAGATTTTGTAAATTGTAGCCGATGAAAAACAGGAGAGGTTTAGTTTAATTTAATGTCAGACAGTGACAGAGAACAAAAGGTTATGTCTTTTTATTGCCGTATGGTAATATCTGATTTCAGCTGCACACACACACACACACATACACACACACACACACGCACGCACGCACGCACGCACGCACACACACACACACACGCACGCACGCACGCGCACGCACACACACACACACACGCACGCACGCACGCACGCACGCACACACACACACACACACACACTCACACACACAGCGCTGTGAAAACTAAACCAATTTGTCCCAAATCATGCTTTGCATTCAAACATCTTCATTCTGAGAAGCTGACTGGTGGTGTGGTCAGGCAGAAAGGTCGGCCCTGATGAGGAACAAATTACCAGGCGGCTCTGATTGGTTCACACTCTCGACTCCAGCATACAGCGGCTATGGGAGGTTAACATGCTAAGCTGAAGTTTATTATAGTGCCTTTTGATGAGGCGAGTAGTCAAGAGACGCCGTGTGGGAAGACAGTCATTTTCCGAATCCACATGCAGACTGTCTCTTGTTCACAGCTGATAGCAACTTTGATTTTCCTGCCTGAAACCTGAGTTTTATTCTTTACAAAAGAAAAAAGTAGATCAAAGTGGGAACAGGTTTTATGTTGTTTCCCATCAATAAACTGAAAGAAACACAGGCTGCCTATGGAAAACCTTCCCTCTGTCTTTATTTCCAATGTCTTGAAAATTAGAGTTCATTTAAAGGGATGGTATTATTTAAGATTGACTTTTTCTTTTTAGCATTATATCATGTTGTAATGTTATTCCCTAATCAAAACATACCTGGAGTCTTGCCTTAATTCTTTCATGCATGTTTTAGAAAACCTTTAATCTACATGGCAACCATTGAGCTATGCAAAACATCTGTGTGGACGTAGCTTCACCTACAAGGATGAAGCTCCTCTGCTGTAATTAACAAAGCACACACACTTTGTTTGTGTGCTTTGTTTTCTCAAGTCATCTCAACTTCCGCCTCCAGGAAGTTGAGATGAGTTCCTGGAGGCGGAGTTTCAGAAAGAGCAGGAGTTTCTTAAAGAGACAGAGGCTCAATTAAATTTCAAGGCGATAAATTAAATTTCAAGGCGATAAATTACAAAGCCAAATTTCTTTTCAGTCATATTTGATATAGATAGCATTTTTAGAACAACTGATGGTGACATAGTGACTTGGTTGTGCTAAGTGCCACCATGTGGCTGGAAAACACACAATACAGCCCTTTTAAAATATTTCTGATTAAAGGTGAGCTCAGCAGATAGATGTTTAGATTCAAAACAAAAATGATGTTTTTGACATTATTCAGCTTCTTCACTGACTTCTGTCTTAAATTTACCAGAACATATTATTATGGAGTTATAACTCAGTCAGTTTTATCATGTTTTCCTAGCAGTTAGACGTTCAGTTGAGGACAGAGCTGCTTCGCTTGCTTCTTTTTTTTTTTTTTTTCTCAAGTCTCGTTTGCTCTATGTGTTTTCCGTTTCTGTCTTTGAATGACTTTCTCTTGTGTTTTCTGGTCTCCTTGAGTCCCTTGTGAGTTCTTTTCCTTCCTTATTGTGCTTTTCGTTCAGACAATTTAAAGCCTCGATGCTGGCTTTAAATTATTTCCTGTCATCGTATTGGTATCCGTGTCTGTATTTCATACATCATCCTGCCATTTGTCAGCTTGGCTGTTCATCACCTCTGTCATTGCACGCACATGAGGTCTCACTGTTCCTTAAACATTTATCAGGTGGCTTTTGGATTTCCTCTTTGATTTTTTTCCCCCCTCTTTCGATTCACTCTAAAGCACTCACTGCTAGCATAATTGGAAAGTGACAAAATGTCAAGACCCATTTACCAGATTGATTGATAGCAGAAGGCAAACTTTTTCATTTCTTTTAGCTTTGTATTCCAATACAGTCTTGCAGAAGAACCTCAGTTTCCCAGGAGTCTGAAGCTGCAGTCCTTAAGAACAGTCTTTCCTTCAACACATTTGTCAAATAATGAGGTCATTAACAGGACTCTGATGAACTAGACAGATGGCCAGGTAATTTAGCCATCTGATTCAGGTATGTTAGACCCAGGAACACATCTTGAAGTTGCAGGGCAGCTGACCTTAACGGCTGACATATGAACAGATGTTTGCTGCTGGTATTTCTGGCATGCTCAACAGCATCACTGCACCAAAGCTACATCCACACAGCAGGTCTTGTTGCTGTTCCTCAGTTTGGATGGCAACAGAAGTGAGTCGGTGATAAAAACAGAAGTTTTTGCCCACCTGGCGATAAACTTGCACTTGCTTATAACAGAGGCAGAAAAGCTAGTTAGCTAGCCAGGGTATATTAGCAGCTACTTACTGGTAGCCTCATCTGGCTCAAGTCAGAACTCAATGAACAGGTCTGAGCTGACTCAAACTTTGGCCTGATAGATAAAAACTACTTAATCAGGATTAGATAGCCCTGCCTAGACAATTTTTTAAAAAAAATTGAAGTCATTTTAATGGATTCATTTTAGATACATGAAATTAAGACTTTTCAAGGATCCACAGTCTCTCTCAGTAAACAAAATCCCAAACTATAAAATGTCCAAACATCTGCAAATTCTGACACCAACCTGAATTCTCGTCAATTCCTGCATGAATTGATTCCAATAAAACCTCCGTACAACTATTCAACAATCTGAATCATATTCTCTGGCTAAAGATATGCTTTATATTGTTTAGGCATGCACTGTGGTGGGATTAGGATTTTAACAAAGATCTACTATAGTTATTTTCTGAACTAAAAGTTGCTTTCAGTCCCACTATTGGGGGAAGTTAGCCCCAGATGCTTTTACTTTTCAATTTTCACACAAACACACCTGCCTTTAAATGTCAAATACTGAGGTCAGAATGTATTCAGGATAGGTTGCTGAAATTTTCTGGCTATCCTCAGGACTATTTCCATTTCCAGTGCACATTTTCCAAACATTCCTCTACTGTTTACATAACTGCTTTCTTATTCTTCCATCGATTAAACATTACTTTAAATATTTCATTGTTTTTTCTGGGCTAGACCTAAATTATTCTCATTGGCAGAAAAGCCTTTTTGTGCAAAAAATAAAACATTAATATGTAGACAGGGCAGTTTTCTATATCTGATATTCACATGTAATTTGAAGCGCTACACAGATCGCAACTGGCACAAATTAAACAATAAAAAAACGAGGGTGAGAGATAAACAATCTCATCGATTTGCAACAAAAATGGTGCCAATTTTTTATTATGATTACCTTCTGCCCTCTCCTTTACAAGTCTTAGGATCTGTTGTGCTCTCTGCAAGAATCAAATCACTGTGTTAAATTAATAAATTGTCTCTTGCAAAAATAAAAAATAAAAAACTGGATATTGATTGTGTCTTGATGTTTAACACATTCTCATGGAGCAATTCTCTGCCAGAGTAACAGTGGGATTTGTTGAATTAGGATCAGTTTTATAAATGTTTTTTCTGCATCTTTAAATGCTCCTTATTAAATCCAGGGCTCAAATACTCAACCATGAGGATGTGAAATGCAACAGTATTGTCTGCAGGTAGAGCTGATTAACAAATTAAAAAATGACAAGTGCTGGTTTGAGAAAGCTCATTAAAAGCGGTGTGATAACAAGGACAGTGTCATCGTGTTTTATCTTCTTTTCATCCATTGTTACCTTGTCTGCTTAATTAAAAACGGAACTCTTTTAATCATCGCCCAAGGCTCTGGGACTTATTGGGCTAATAATTTTTAATCTCCTGAACTGATAAACCTAGCAGTTAGGAGAAGTCACAGTAGATTGAGAATAAATGCAGTTATAATCCTTGAAAATCCTACTGTATATTAGCCATGAGACGTGATGGAATATGAACCTCATTAGCATGTGTGAAGTAAAGCTGTCGAGATTTAAAGGAAATGATCAACGTGTCCTTCCTCCCTCAGACCGGGAGCACAGCTCCTACAGAGACGAGACGTCTGACATGTCCAACAAGTGTCTGCCGTGCAGAGAGGGCTGCAAGTACTGCCAAGATGACACCCCCTGCCTGGTGCAGGAGAACGGCGGACTGCGGCTCGCCGTGGCCTCCTTCCAGGGCCTGTGCATGATGCTGGACCTGGCGAGCATGTTGGTGGTCTACCACTTCAGGAGGAACAAGGTGAGTGGGACAGCAGGGTGTCGGGGAAGAATGCTGGAAGTTCATTCTGACTCGTCACGCGACTCTTTTGGGCTGTGAATGATTACATCAGAAAGTGCTTTGGAGTCCTCAGACTTGATAAACACTATATTTCATTTGTTCCACTTGTTTCAGATGTTGCTTTGGGTAATTTAGCTGAACTTAAATACAGTCAAAGATCAGACTTTAGGTTTACAACTGGAGGCTCCATGATCAAAGTTTGATCTGCCAGTTATGATGAAAGTAAATTCGGATTTGTTTGTTTCCTAGCCTTCCTGCGGTGAGTTGCATTAATTATATATATCAGGAGCAGATGAACATCAAGAGCAATCATAGACAATAGAATAAAGAGTTCATATTTCATATTATTTTTACAGTCTTAGGGATTGGCATGATTAGCGTTAGCCTGGTAAAAAAACAGCACCCTTGTACTGTGTTTGGGTTCATTGAGAGTGTCTGGACTTTAGCTTATTAAGAAACAATTGCTTGCTGTAGGCGTGGATTCTGTTGAGGTTCACTAAGGTTTGTCTGTGATGTATTTAATGTGCCAGTTGGACTTTATGAAGCTAACTGGAAATGGCCTACGTCAATTCAAATGAGGCAGCTGTCAAATATTGATTCAAAATTTGGAGGCGTGGCCAACATGGACTGAACAACTTTGTTCACTTCCTCCGCCACAGGCAAACTTCAATTATAAACAGCACAGAAAATCGACATCATCGTTCACAACTTCTCCGTCTGATCACTGATTCTTTGAAATTCTACCTGAAGAATCACAGTCAATGGGAGAAATCTAGCTGGAGCAATGAAGGGAAATGAGAATTGCGTAATATTGCTTTGGAAGGCAATGGCCAGGCTAAGTTAGCTAGCATTACATAAATAGTAGTGTCTGCCTCTGTGTTCATTTTGCAAAATGTCGACCGTTGGAGTAGTCCAAATATTTTGTCACATGGGTCAAACTGAAAAGTATCAGAGAGGGAAAAAAATTTGATTATTATATAACTCCTATTGTTTTACCTTCTCATCAAAAAAAATAATTTAATTGAAACAAAGTAGTCTTGATTTAGGCAGTTAACTCATCTATAAATCCTTATAGAGAAGAGCTACAAAGGGTCTTTGAGGGTTTCTTCCCTTTTTTAAGGAAAGCGGACAGATTCCTAATTTTGGGGTGCTGAATGTGTTCTATTTTGCTAGGTTGGAAAAAAAATAATTTATGCAAAAAGAACTGTGTATGGATCACTATTGTTGTATTTAACCAGGTTTAATAAATAATCACTGAGAAACAATGCTGGACATTTGTGAACGTATAATGAAAGTAAAATGAAAAAGACAAATACCTTTTTTCAGCATTTGAAATTTTCTGTGACAATTTTGCCCGGGAAAATAGCAAGAAGTATCCATCTGCATTTGTTTCACTAAATGAAAATTGTTCTGAGGCCTGCAAACAGTCACCAAGCTGCACTTTGGACATTAAATATAGATCCTTACCTTACCGCAGACATTTCCAAACAATTCTGAATCTAAAATGTATCATGACAGACAGAGGCTGAGAGCTTAAAAAGAAAAAATATATAAAAAAGAGCAACTTTGCTACATGCCATTCAGCCTTGCTGTTATCTGTTGAAAGTCTTGCTTTCTCTCACAGCCTGAAGAAACGGCAAACTAGAAAATACAGTTTTCCTTTTAGTGGTTCCATCTAATGCTATGCATCCTGCGACATTACTTTAAACATTTCACGGTTTTGTCACTTTTTTAACCCCCTCTGGAACAGCTGGTCAATCAAGTTGAAAATCAGCCCCTTGCAGTCACCAGCTGATTTCTCTGTGCGTCTCTTCCTGCCTCTACTCATCACTTCTCCTTACTTTTCAAGTAAACAGAGGCTAATCAGAACAAATGGCATCGTTTATCTCAACACTTATTTCAACATCAGAAGTCTACCTTTTTCTACTCGTTCTTTTTTTAAAAAAAGAGTTTTTATTAAAGTTTCCAAATCTGCTGTCATTCTGCTGTTCATCAACCTCCCACTTTCCTTAGTTAAGGGCAATCAAAAACGACTAATTGAAGGTCAAATCAAAAGACATAGAAGTGAGCAGCAAACGGCAATGAATGTAGTTTAAGACGAATATACGATGAGCCAAGTGTGTTTAATGCTTTATCCTTAGCTTAAAGAACAAAGGGTCTTTATGAAGTACTTTTAATATTATTCTAATCCACAAATATTTAACTTCCACTGCACATAAGGCCTTGTTTCAAGTTGTTGCATAAGATGCTCTTTGGCAGCAGAAATGAATTAAACACAAGATCCTCCCAGTGTAGCTCGACTCCAACCAGCCTTCAGGCAAATACGTGCTGGAACTTTTATAAGTGAGCTAATTATAGATCATCTGTGTTATTCCCTCAGAATCTCCCAGTTTCCTTTCAATTCACAAAAAAAAAAAAAACATCCCTGGGGGCTTTTAGAATCACACAGCAGCAAAGTTCTCAGTGAGTTTTATATGGATAATTAAATGCAACCCAGAAAAATATATTTCCCCCCGACTCCCTCCCCCATGCTGCTTCAAGATAACACAACACGTTAAATAAATATATTTTCTGAAACCCTCCTTATTCTGTTGTTTGTTTTGAAACAGGCAATTATTTTGTTTGTTTTTTTTTTTTTTATTGCTTTTTTTTTTTTTTTTTTTTTTTGCTTTTGCCTGGAAAGAAACTGAAATGCAAATCGGTACTCATTAGGGCTGAATCGGAGGGTTTGATTTCAGACAGCAGAGTTTAAGAATTAAGTTGTTGAATGTGCAAAACACTGAAGCCCGTACAGTAGGTTAAATATTAAAATGTTTGTAAAAATACTTTGTTTTTCTGCAAAAACAAAAGCTGGATTAGAGACTCTGCAAACAGGATTAGTCTCTTGAGACTTCTCATGTTGCAGAGTACTCAAACTTTCACTGACTCCCATCATGTACTAATGAACGCTCTTTTTGTTCTTCCTTTTCAACAGAGCATCCGTACGTCTGGTCTCATCCTGCTGGAAACCATCTTGTTTGGGGCGTTGCTGCTGTACTTCCCAGTAAGTCTCTGGTTTTACCTTAATGGTCCAAACCCTTTGAATTTAGGAATATTTTTGATACAATGGAAGCTCAAACTTAGCATATTTTGATTTTATGTTATGGACCAAGACAAAATTATGCCTAGTACTGAAGTGCAAGTAATATTACAAATTGCTTTGAATACATTTTACTGATGAAAATTCAAAATCTGTAGTTTGCATCTCCTTAGTACTGGTACACCTAAATAAAATCCAGTGTTGTCCATCAAACAAACAGCAGCATGAAGAGAAAAAAACCTTTTGGAAGCAGGATTAGGTTATAAAATATTATCACAAGCTTTTAACACCAAAATAGAACTGTTTGAACATAGCACCACCAAAACCTTAAAAGATGTGGTTATGGATTTACTAACACGTCATTTCTAGCGTTAATCAGAGAATCAGCTAAGATTTTCTTAGTAACTCTACATATGCTACAAAAATCCAAAGCTCAAGTGGAGAAATCTGTAAACAGGACTAGATTAAAGTCATGGATTTAACAAATTTGGCCTTTCTGAAAGCAAGGTAAGTAGGAAGTCAATGTTCGAAGAAATCCTGTTTGCCTCAGTTCATGTAAAGGAAACAGGAAACACAGGATGGTCACTTTATGCGTCTCTGAACCTTCAGAGTCACTTTGAGACAGTTAAAAAGTTGGTCTTCTATCTCCCTAGGAACATTTCCAGGATTAAAGGACGAATGTTGCAGCAAGATCTAGAGAAACCTATCCATGAGATTAACTTTAGTCTTATTGATTACTACTGGAAAAAAAAAAACAAGCAGACAGCTACAGCTGATCCACAACACTGCTGCTCACTAAATTCAGGAAGATAGAGCACATCTCACCAGTCAAAGCAAAAATCTCAGCACAACTTAATGTTTTAAAAGAGAAGTTTAAGACTTTGTTTATATCCAGTCAGATCAGATCAGCTTTACGATTAACCCTGGAAGTAGCCTCTTGGTCAGAGGTATCACATCCACTGTTGCTGATATGGATGATTCTATAATCATAAAACACCTCATAGACAGCTGCCTCAATGCATTAACTTCTTCAAAGTACAGACAAACAGCTAGGTAGGCCGAGGAGCCGGCGTACAGCATGGAAAGTACAAGAACAGTACAGTGTAGATGCAACCAGCTGAATCAGAAGCGCCACCCACAGAATCACTCATCAGATCACTTACATGTGGCATGAAGCAGCAGCAGATACGGAGTGTTGCTGCGATGATTCGTCTATGATTTAAGATTTGGCTGACAAGTCACTAGGCCGCTTTTCAACTTTTGCTAAAGCTATTGTGACAAAAATTTAGATGTTTTTTTACTTGACAATCTAATGAATGCTGGACTGACAAGCCAAGTTGGAAACGGACGCAGTTTGAGATGTGGGACAAGCTGACTCATGTCAGATGCTAGCTAATACAGTTCTTAAATGACTTGTTTGTGTGTTTTTGTTAGGTTTGTGTGGGAGACGAGTGGGAGGATATAGCAGAATGGCGCTGCTGACTTCATTGTTGCTTTGTCTTCTGTGTTGTTTTTCCTCATCTCTGTTTTGTTTCACGTGATGCTATAAAGTACTTTGGGTCCTGCAGCACTTTTGCTTTTGGTGCACAGATCGACCTTTTTCACTTCCGATACCGATACAGGCATCTGAGAATTAGTATGGGCCGATACCGATCCAACAGAAAAACGGTGCTAAATTGACTTAAAACATTTATTTTTTAAAAGACAGACAAAATGTACTGCATTACAACTGTATTTAATAACTCTGCACCAGTACAGTTAAATACACCAATAACCTGACAAGCTTGGTCAAACATGTAAAAACCTGATTTGTTTAGTCAGTGCATTTAGGAGTAAAACAAACATTGTAAAACAAATGAGAAAGAAAATGACAAGACAATAGGTTGGTCAAATGTGTAAAAATAATCTGCTGCAAACCTTCGTTCAAAAGGTTGAGAAAGTACAATTTGAAATTACAAATATAATGTAGCATAAGTAATAAAGCATGACCTCATTCAGGGCACAAAATATAGAATTAGATCAAATTGTCACCGATACCTGATCTAGAATTTTTTTAAATTTCAGGGCCGATGCTGATGTCAACATAAGTTCGTTTCATCTCCAGCCTATGAGTCTCATACTTGAAAAACACTAATGTATAAATTATATCTTCAGTTTCTATGTGACTTTAACTCAACAAACCTTCAGTATCACCCTGTCTTCAGCATGAGTGTTGCAACTTATGCCACCTGTCCAGTGCAGCTCATAGGATTCTGATCTGATTCTAACTTATGCAGACTCTCTGTCTACATTGATGAAGATTTGTCCTGGCCTCTCACAATGTGTGTGCAGAGGATTAAACAGTTGCCTATCATTAAGTATGGGGAAAAACAGACATTTTGACCCCCATGGCAAAAAAGTTCTTGCATAGTCATATGTTATACAATTCACCCTAGAGCGAAATACATATCAGTACATTTCATTGTTGTAAGAAGTTCAGACATTTTGTAGATGGAAAACAATTTAGCAAGATTTCTTTAGGTAGTATTGACATAAAAATGATCATGTCAACCTTACTATTTAATGGAAAACATTTATTCTAGTCAAGATAATCTGTCTGGACATGCAGGTTTGTGGATTATGATGGGTAGCATCCACATACTAAACATATATAAGAAAAATTAAATCATTACTGGTATTGTCAAACATAAACTGCTTCATTATAGATGGCAAATAACAATAGGTTTGTTTTATACATACTTGTACTGTGATGAGAACTAATTGTGAGGAAAACCAAATATAGAGTTTTTGCTTCATACTGTTACATAACCATCGCTGATCCAACCTGACACTCTGGGCATTTGAACAAAAGACAATCCCTTATGGAGCTGAGAAAGACAAAAACATGGAAATGGGTTTATATTTAACACAAAAACCTGCCGGAAGATAAGCATCATGTTGCACGGTTGGTTAAAAAGGCACAAGTTGCGTAACTAGTGATAAAGAGAAAGGACTGTGGGGTGCTGACCTCAGGCGGGACACGGCCAATAAAACCAAGTGTGTCGCCGTTGCTCATGTAAAACTAATTCAAAGTCCAGTGTGTTAGAAAAGTTTTCATGGCCTTAAAAACTTTTCAGATTCTCTTTATTTAACAATTACAAATGTAATTTGTTTTATTCAGTTTTTATGGGACTCAATAAGAAAGGAAAAGGAAAATCTTTATTGCCAGTGTGCAAACATATGACATGCAGTGGAACAGCAATGTTGGAGTATTGAATCACGAGGAGAGTCACAAAGAGAAATGGTGTATGAAAACAGAATAAAATTAATAGTGTACAAATACTGCAGTCTTAAAAGAAAGAAACACTGAAATAAAGACGATGCACCTCATAGTTGTGAAGGAGAAAGAAAATTGTTTACAATAAGAATCTGAAAAGTCTCAAGCATCTAGAGTCTACAACGTTTCTCTTCTTCTTTGGAAAAATTCCCAGTCTGAGTCGGCTTGGACAGAGAGCGTCTGGGAATGTCAGTGTTGAAGTCTCACCAAAGATTGTTGGATTTGAGTGTGAACTTTGACTGGGTCATTCTGTTTAGCTTCATCAAATCCACATCACTTTGGTTGATCTGTTGCAAGCAATACATGGATTGATAATTTTGGTCACTCTGTGACAGAATGTCACTTATTCAATAAGTCCTGCCTTCTTGAGCTGCGGCCCACTATCCATGTGCTCAGTGTCTGTCTGGACAATAACAAAGAGCAGGACAGCTTAGCTATGAGTGTTCCTCACTCTGTGCGTGGCTTAGCCAGGCTTTGTGGTGGGTGGGTGCCATTGTGCTGTGTGTGCATGTGTGTATTTACCGTTGTGCCCACAGAGCACCTGCTGTGCTGAATCCGAAGCTCATCTTTAGAAGGGAAACAGATGGAGGAAACCTGTGTCGTGTTAACAGGGAGGGAATTCGCTCTCCTTATCAGAGAGCTCTCCTGTCCGCCAACAGAAAGCTTATTGGCTGGATATCAGACATTTGAAGGAAAAATGGTAAATCCTTTCAGAAAAGAGCTTCATGACATTGGTTTTGTTCTTTTGAAAAAAGTTATAGCCAAAGTTTTTATGTGTTTCATAGTAGAGTTTAGATTTTTGGTACGAGCCCGACCCAAATCCATCAAAAATTATTTGCTCAAAGGCCGGCTGGTGCTGGGTTTTGTGTCGTATAAGCCTGCAATGCATACAGGAGAGGGGAAACCAAACGAGAATACACAATATAAATTTGTGTTAATCTAATCATCATAGTCTAAGAATAGACGCAACAGGTTAGCAGTTTAACCAAAGAAACAAAGTGAGTAAACTATGACAAGCTCAGTGAACTGCATGCAGACACAACTCCGCTCTGCTAGAATGCTTTCAATCACACATCCCAGAAAATTTGTACTTGACTCATCATGTGGCTGCAACAAACCACAAAGTGGAGCTGGAAGCTGCTTTTTTTTTGCTTTACATCATGTTATGTTATTTCCTCATCAAACAAACCTGTAGTGTTGCTTTGATTCTTTCATGCATGTTTGAGAAATCCTTGAATCTCCCAAGGCAACCATTCGGCTGTACAAAACACGTGGAGGGATGCAGCACCACCTTCATGGATGAAGCTCCTCCTCAGACATAAGTTTTCAAGCTATCAAGTTTCTCTCTCACAGACTCCGTCTCCCCCACGACTTCCCCACTCACCTCCTTCAGACTAGTCATCAACAATTAGCAAATATCTGGTGGAACTGCACATCCACTTAGCTTATTGTACAAACTCCTCCCCAGTGCAGTGCTGGTAAAAATGTTGACATGTTAACTTTCTGAAGGCTGAGTTTCAGAAAGAGAATAAGTTTCTTAAAGAGACAGGGGCCCAATTTCAAGGTGGTAAATTATGTAGCCAAATTTCTTGTAAGTCACATTTGACATATACAATTGAAGATAACATGGTTACTTGATTGTGCTACA